AGCATCGAGACTTGGTGCCCCAGACCTGGGAAAGGAACAGGCCTCAGCGACCTTCAGTGGAACCTGGAAAGTCCTAATGGTGACAGAGAGTACTTCCCAAAAATTTTACCACAGCAGACTAAGATTGGTAGCCCAGGAGAAATCCTAGTCTGTCCCATGGGACAGAAAGACCCTGCTTCCCTGAAGAGGAACTGTCATTACTGCAAGTTTTGCAAGAGCGTCCATGCCCTTGGGGGGGCGACGAGCCACAGAAACCCTTTCTGCCACGGGGAGGGGAAGGCTCCCAGAAGAGCCCACAGCCCCTGCCAGGGACATCAGGAAGTGGGGCTTGCTCCTAGCCCAGGCGGCCATTGCTGGAGCTGCTCCAAGGCCTCCCGAGGGCCCTTGGGGGCTGGTAACAAACCCTAAGTGTGCACACAGGGCAGCAGTGAGGAGCCCCCAGAAACGCCCTGATCTCCATGAAGCAGAGCAGCTCAGGTTTCCACCACAAGTAGACCAAGACACAGGGAAGGAGAAAGGCAGGGCAACTGAATCTGGATTTCACCACTGCAGCCAGACAGCGCTGGGAGTCAACCCATCTGCTCTGCAGTGGAGGCCCGGCTCTGCAGCGCTCAGACTCAGACCCTGGAGCATAATAAGCAGGGCTTAGGAAACGCACAGACACGTGTGATACAGACACCTGAAGGCTCTCCCACCTTTCCTTCCAGAGCCACCCGAACTTGCTGCACACCCACATTTATAGCCCCTGGGGTGCTTTATGGAATGCAGTCCCATGCTCCATCCCAGACCAAACCCAGCCCCAAGATGCTGTTGTGCAAGAAGGCCAAGTGAGCTCTGGCAGGCTTGTATTTGGGACAGGCTTTTCTGGGCTTTCTATTTGCTTCTTAGGGTCTGTTAATTGCTGGTCTCTGGGAAAGCTAGGTATTGCCCTATGAGTAAGGAGGCAAAAGCAAGGACACGGTCCCGATCCTGCGAGCTCACACACACTAATCAGACCATGTGAAGAAGTGGTGACGGTGCAGTGACACTCAGAATATGTGTGGTGTTCTGGTACTTGGAAGTACCTGGGAGAGTTAATCGAGGGGCACTTGTGTGGAAGGCAGGCAGAAAAGGGTATCAGAGGGGATGGGGTCCTGAGACCATATCATGGAGCAGACCTAAGGGCCAGCTAAGCAGGAGAGTGACAGAGAATGGCTCACGCCTGGTGGACAGACTGGAAGCAGGAAGCCAGGGCCATCAGAGGCAGTGCCTACAAGGACCAAACCTGAAGCCATAGTGGATGCTGCTTGAGTGCCTGAGGCAGCTCAGAGCTTGAAAAAATAGAAGAAAATAGTCTGCAGAGCTGTTATGAGTCAGGAGATTTATACAATGCAGGTTTCCTACTCCTCCAAAATGGCCTGACATGTTGGCCTGTGCTCAGTCTGCACCCCGAGGCCAGAGCGTCCAGTGAGGCACCTGCTGGGCTATGGGACAAAGGCAGGCAGCAGGGTGGGAGAGGCAAGGCCACCAAACTCAGGCAGGGAGTGGGCAGGGCACCTGTGTACAGCAGGTGCCGCTGCTCGGTGGGGGCTGTGCGGCGAGCCTGGCTGTGAGCCACTGAAGCAGGAGAGTCGGCAACACTACTTCCAGAGAGTGGCGGTAACAAGCACCGACCACGTGCCTGACGGCTGGCAGCCCCTGCCATCCCGCTCCCACTCACCAGGATGATCTTGGTCTCATCAAGTTCAGCCTGCACCTTACTCATGGGGTCAGCTTCTCGGGGGTTCTACAAAAGAGCCCAGAACAAGAGCAACATCAGGAGTGGAGGGCTCCCTGGAAATAAAATTCAAAACTAAGCGGCAAATCAACAACCACGATGGAAAAGCAAACATCTTCCTAGGAGCATAGGCTCTGGGTCTCAATGTGGGTCCCTGCATTTTCCAAATGGCCATCAACCTCAAGGCTGTCAGGAAACTACCCAGAGCCACAACCATCAGGGCCACTGGCACTGCCACCACCTGTGGTCCTGGGCCACAAAGTCTCCACATGGGGTTTGTTACACCCTACCTGGTACACACTGAGGTGCCCATCCAGGGCTGTGTATTGGATGGTAGCAGGAGATCCAACTGGCCACTCTGTCCTGCTGATCTGCTTAGAGAACTCATCTAGTACCTGCAAGATAAAGGAGCTCAACACCACCCCACTTGCACTTGCCGGTGCCCATGGCTCTCTCTTGACCCAAGAGCCTTGCTGGCAAGAGGCTCTCAAGACCCAGGAAGCAGGGAGGAGGGCAGCTAATGGCAGGGGAAAGCCAGGCCCACTTTTCCCCAACCTACATACTCAGGGAATTAACAACCAAGTAGGCCCGGCCTGAGATGAACCTCATTGTGAATGACCAAAGTTATTAGAATTTGAACTACAGATTTCCATTTTCACATTATGATTTCCAGGAAAAAAGGTACTAGCCCTTTAATTTTCCAAAACAATTCTTCAGAAAGGGTATCAAGGCCTTTGGACTTAAACTCCACCAGATTTCATGTGCTTGTACATGCATTAGTGCTTGGGGGACTAGAGGCCAATGTCTCTGAGCAGCTTATAATTAGCATCATGTAAGAAACTGAAGTGTGTGGCTGTGCTGAGCCCTATCATGGGACAGGACCCACACTGTGGAAGGGACCCCCATCACTGCAGGATGAGAAACTCCCTGAACAGAAGCACAGAGGTGGGGAGGACCCTGTGCATGCAGGGATGACCTGGTGGAGGGGAGGTGGGTCACAGGTCAAAGCATAGAATCTGAGGTGGTTCAGAGGAACTGAAAGCCATGGCTACAGCGGGTAGAGGCGGGACAAGGGCCAACCAGAGGAGCAGCAGGGGTGAGGACACAGCCATGGCTGCTTGGGGGCTGGAAAGGGAAGCCACTGTCTCTTGGCTCAGAGTGAGGAGCAAAGTTGAAAGTGTTGACTTTGGAAACGCTGTTTCATCTCTCATGCCTCAGGCCCCGTCCACACCTGTCTGTCCAAGTCCAAACTGCAAACCCACCTTCTCCAGCAAGGTGAAAGCCACCCGGGACGGGTATTCACTGTCAGCAATGACCACTCCTGCAAGACCGTCATTCCGCACACAGACATGGCACAGGTATTCTAAGGAGAGACAGGCACACAGCTGGCGGTGGGGAACCTTAGACACGTTCACCCCCAAACTGAAGCGCCACACCACAAGTTGGGCCTGCAGGACTTGGAGCACAGCTCCGCATGCTCACAGCACATGTGGGACTACTGCTGGTTTGGCCCCACATCCGCTTCAGGACAAATGCATGCCCAGAGGCCCAGGGCGCAAAGCCTGGGTCTAAAGGAGCCACCACCACTGGGGCAGAGGACAACCCCAGTGCACAGGTGTGGGTGGCTCTTCCTTGGGAGCTGCAACTCTCAGAGGCTCCATTCTGCTCCCAACTGAGGGGGCCCTGGACGAGTCACACAGCCTCCACTTCCTAAAAGCCATGCAAGTGTGGCCCCAAATCAGGAAACCACCTCTTGGAGCCTCTGGCTTCCTCACTAAAGCAACCCTGGCCTGCTTGTTTTGTGGTGGGCCATAGGTAGACTGGGTGGGAAGAAGAGAGGAGAGAAAGCCCATCTAGGAAAAAATTAGCCCCCACTGGCTGTGCAGTGTTATTGTGCTGAAATTATCAAAAGTATAGTCTGTACAAGGGCTTCTGCAAAAAATTCACAATCCACAAGATTGTTTTGTCATTTTGAAAGGATTCAGAGATGAAACATCAACCATATTTCCAAACTAAAAGGAACAAAAGGATTATAGCTGACAAATAAGAACCTTCTTGTCCATAACACTGTCACCTGGAAGATGCTAATGTCAAACAAGGAAAACAAAGAGGAGAGGGAGAGACAGTAAGCCCCTAAAATCAGATCATCACCAACACTCTCCAGACTTGATATTCCCATGTAAGTAAGATTCAAACATGGGGCTACACACTCCACGGAATCTGAGAAGCTGGGATGGTGTGTGAGGATATGTCTTTAAAGTCACAATGTCGGGAAGGCAGATGCAGTCTGAGGAGAACTGAGGATAAATTTTCATGATTCAATTTCACTTCTGGGACATTTACGATACAGGGACCCCACATAGTACATACACCTTTGACATCACCTGCATGTAACTGATGGTTACATGATGGATACAGTATCTCCACATCACATGACCCAAGGCCAGCACAACATGCATTGGCCCTTGTTTCTGCTTGATGAAGTTCACAGACACCTTTCCTAATCTGTATAACATATGCCTCTAAAATAAATGCTTAAAAATTCTTACAGGAAACCTGAATTATGAAGAAGAAAAAATAATGGTCAAGAGGAAAATACTGAGTTTTCAGAATCCTGGTCAAAAATCTAAGGAACACAGGATGCAGCATTACCATAACAGGGCTGGGAATCCTTGGGAGATGTCTAGGACTCTGAGGGAGAAAGAGAAGATACAATATGAAGGCCACTTCTGCTCCAAGAGAGTGGGACCCTAATCTTGAGTGAGTCTAAGCTTTGGGGGTGATTTTAACCAGGCAGCTTAGACACCCATGGCGGGCGGGCAGAGTTTTGTGTAAACAGGAAGAAGAGGGAAGAGAGTACAAGCTGGCAGAGGAGTGGGGTCTCCGCTGAGGCAGCAGCTTGGCCAGTACATTTGCCATTGGTAGGTCTTCTTACCTTGTTCTTTGACAGAAGCTCTGCTGCCCTTCGCCGAGCGCTCCACAATCAGTTGACTTGTGAAGGTCATGAATTCCTGAACACTAAGAAACATAACACATAACATGTTACCTATCCCTGTCATTTGTCCCCAACATAATGGAAAGTGACCTCTAAGCTTATACACGAAGGAGACACTGTATCTCTGTTTCATTCCCTTCCCTCCCAACCCTGGTGACAAACAACGAACATGGAGTGAACACATACACTCTCCTCAACCTGCAGGTGGAAGGGGCCCTGCAGCTCTAACAAAGCACAGGGACCACTATAGAATTTCAAGACAGGTTTATGCAGATAGGGGCCTCTCCACAGAACACAGAAGTTATGCAGTAGTTATTAAAACAGGCTGTTTGCCAAATGACTTAACATCAGACCACACCAGGACCTGGGTTCACCAGCGCCCCCCACCCCCCACCCTTCCTCCAAAGCAGGTGGCAGGCCAGGCAGACAGCAACAGGTTCCTATGGGAGGTGCGGCTGCTCCAGGCCCAGTGTATGGACTGGAGCTGTGCCTTGCAGGGCATCTGTGGCAGTGGAGACTCTCAAGGCAGTAGGTGGCCAAGGTCCTCTGGCCAGCATAGTGCCCAAGGGAAAAGTGCAGCTGGAGGCTAGCCTGCTAGGTGGGTCCTCAAAAGCTACACAGACCGTACTTTCTGGTCCCGGCGAGGAAATTCAGGGCCACTGGCACTTCTATCAAGGCAGGGAGGCCTCCCAGGTAGAGCAGGAGCTGGCATGCTCTGGGAAGGACCCTCATAACGAGGCCACACTGGCTGATGCCATGCCAGCAGGGGCTTATGTGGGAAGCAGGGGCCAAGGGCATCTAGAGTTTGTTTTCAGGAGGAGGCAGTCTGGGACGTGGCAGTGACGCCCAAAGGCCCAGGACCTCCCGGGCATCACTGTGTGCTGATTCCAGACCGGCCTTGAGGCTATAGGGCCTGTAGTGTCCTGCTGGAGGCCTGGCTCGGGGCAGTGGCTCAGACCACAGTGGGGCTGGGAGTCCCTGGGCTGGCTGGCCCCTTCTCTGGTGCTGTTATAGTGGCCAGGGAAAGGCCACTTGCTGAGACAGGCCCCAGGTGCTGCTGAGTTGGTCATGGTGCCTGCAGCCAATGAAAACAGGTTCAAGATCACGGCTGGGATCCAGCTATTCATAGCCAAGCTACGAGTCAACAAGCACCCCCACTCTCTTCAAACACTCCCAGGCACCTCTGTGGGACTTACTAGGATTAAGCCCTGCCCTCAAGCAGGAGGCCAACCTCTGCAAATGCCTTAGAATCTGTGGAGCCCAGTGAGGTGCCCTGCTCAGCCCCTCCACTGTGGCCCAGCAGCAGATTTTCCATCTCCCCTGGGACTGAGCTCAGGCTCACCTGCCCAGCCCTGTAAGCAGGGAGCACCCTGCTCACTGGTATGTTAACAGTCAGTGTACAGATAAAACCCAAAGGCATACAGAGAACCCAGGGCTGGCTCCAAGCCCTAGGGCCTTCCCAGAGGGTTAGAGATGAGCCCTTCAACATCTACATGACTCATGGAGTTTATGTTTTCAATTGGCCCAAAAATACACTTTTGGGAGCCTCAAATTATCTTTTCAAAACTTTCGCTAGACACGTGCATGTGACCGTCCCCACCCCGGGTCCTTCCAGGAGCGGGAGGAGTCTGCTGCTCGGCTCCGGCTCTGCCTCTCCAGGGACTGCAGCACTGCCATGAATAAGGTGGTGGGTCAGCGCAGGGCCTCTGCAGGCTGCCTCACATGATCGCACAGCACGAGTTTTGTTTCCGGGCCTTGAAAGAGACAAAGTGTTTCTGAGGGGGGGCGGCACTGACCACACCCAGCAGGGGGGACGCGGCAGCTCTGCTGGGGGCGCCAGGCCCAGAGCCCTACAACTGGCAGAGGAACTGGAGCCACAACAGAGATAGCCGGCCTGCCCTCGGTGGCCCCAGGAAGCAGAGAAGCAGTTTACCCCCATATTCTCTGCCCACTCACTAGGGTCCTGCCAGGGAGTGAAGCTACTGCTGGCAGAGCACCTACTACCCTACTCTGCCCTATGCCTGCAGGCCTCACAGTGGGGGTCTTCGGGGAACAGAGAGCCCCACGTGGCTTACAGGGCCCCTGCTCCCTGTGCCCAGGCCCAGCCAGGCTCACAAAAGTGCCCGTTGCAGCTGAGGCAAGGGGGTGGTTCCGTCAGAGAGCAGCACACTGCTCCAACAGGGTGGGGACCCAGGCCTGCAGGCGCAAGCGTGGTGTAGCAAGGCCTCCACTTGATTTCGCTTGGACACCCACCGAAGGAACTTGCTACTGCTCGGGCGCTGCAGGACAACCTCAGGGGCCCTGAGCAGTGGCCAGCACTCACCGTCTTATAGAAGGCTTTTGACTGTGTCCCCAGCACTTCCGATTTGGACACAAGGTCGTCCAGCTTCTCACCCCGCTCCAGCAAAGACTCCATGGTGTTGTGCTACAGAAAGGTAGAGTCCAGGTGAGCTGCCTTGCGCCCCTTGGAAAAGTCGGTCTTGGGAACACACTCCTGTGGCACCCCCCACATCCCCCAGCATCGAGACTTGGTGCCCCAGACCTGGGAAAGGAACAGGCCTCAGCGACCTTCAGTGGAACCTGGAAAGTCCTAATGGTGACAGAGAGTACTTCCCAAAAATTTTACCACAGCAGACTAAGATTGGTAGCCCAGGAGAAATCCTAGTCTGTCCCATGGGACAGAAAGACCCTGCTTCCCTGAAGAGGAACTGTCATTACTGCAAGTTTTGCAAGAGCGTCCATGCCCTTGGGGGGGCGACGAGCCACAGAAACCCTTTCTGCCACGGGGAGGGGAAGGCTCCCAGAAGAGCCCACAGCCCCTGCCAGGGACATCAGGAAGTGGGGCTTGCTCCTAGCCCAGGCGGCCATTGCTGGAGCTGCTCCAAGGCCTCCCGAGGGCCCTTGGGGGCTGGTAACAAACCCTAAGTGTGCACACAGGGCAGCAGTGAGGAGCCCCCAGAAACGCCCTGATCTCCATGAAGCAGAGCAGCTCAGGTTTCCACCACAAGTAGACCAAGACACAGGGAAGGAGAAAGGCAGGGCAACTGAATCTGGATTTCACCACTGCAGCCAGACAGCGCTGGGAGTCAACCCATCTGCTCTGCAGTGGAGGCCCGGCTCTGCAGCGCTCAGACTCAGACCCTGGAGCATAATAAGCAGGGCTTAGGAAACGCACAGACACGTGTGATACAGACACCTGAAGGCTCTCCCACCTTTCCTTCCAGAGCCACCCGAACTTGCTGCACACCCACATTTATAGCCCCTGGGGTGCTTTATGGAATGCAGTCCCATGCTCCATCCCAGACCAAACCCAGCCCCAAGATGCTGTTGTGCAAGAAGGCCAAGTGAGCTCTGGCAGGCTTGTATTTGGGACAGGCTTTTCTGGGCTTTCTATTTGCTTCTTAGGGTCTGTTAATTGCTGGTCTCTGGGAAAGCTAGGTATTGCCCTATGAGTAAGGAGGCAAAAGCAAGGACACGGTCCCGATCCTGCGAGCTCACACACACTAATCAGACCATGTGAAGAAGTGGTGACGGTGCAGTGACACTCAGAATATGTGTGGTGTTCTGGTACTTGGAAGTACCTGGGAGAGTTAATCGAGGGGCACTTGTGTGGAAGGCAGGCAGAAAAGGGTATCAGAGGGGATGGGGTCCTGAGACCATATCATGGAGCAGACCTAAGGGCCAGCTAAGCAGGAGAGTGACAGAGAATGGCTCACGCCTGGTGGACAGACTGGAAGCAGGAAGCCAGGGCCATCAGAGGCAGTGCCTACAAGGACCAAACCTGAAGCCATAGTGGATGCTGCTTGAGTGCCTGAGGCAGCTCAGAGCTTGAAAAAATAGAAGAAAATAGTCTGCAGAGCTGTTATGAGTCAGGAGATTTATACAATGCAGGTTTCCTACTCCTCCAAAATGGCCTGACATGTTGGCCTGTGCTCAGTCTGCACCCCGAGGCCAGAGCGTCCAGTGAGGCACCTGCTGGGCTATGGGACAAAGGCAGGCAGCAGGGTGGGAGAGGCAAGGCCACCAAACTCAGGCAGGGAGTGGGCAGGGCACCTGTGTACAGCAGGTGCCGCTGCTCGGTGGGGGCTGTGCGGCGAGCCTGGCTGTGAGCCACTGAAGCAGGAGAGTCGGCAACACTACTTCCAGAGAGTGGCGGTAACAAGCACCGACCACGTGCCTGACGGCTGGCAGCCCCTGCCATCCCGCTCCCACTCACCAGGATGATCTTGGTCTCATCAAGTTCAGCCTGCACCTTACTCATGGGGTCAGCTTCTCGGGGGTTCTACAAAAGAGCCCAGAACAAGAGCAACATCAGGAGTGGAGGGCTCCCTGGAAATAAAATTCAAAACTAAGCGGCAAATCAACAACCACGATGGAAAAGCAAACATCTTCCTAGGAGCATAGGCTCTGGGTCTCAATGTGGGTCCCTGCATTTTCCAAATGGCCATCAACCTCAAGGCTGTCAGGAAACTACCCAGAGCCACAACCATCAGGGCCACTGGCACTGCCACCACCTGTGGTCCTGGGCCACAAAGTCTCCACATGGGGTTTGTTACACCCTACCTGGTACACACTGAGGTGCCCATCCAGGGCTGTGTATTGGATGGTAGCAGGAGATCCAACTGGCCACTCTGTCCTGCTGATCTGCTTAGAGAACTCATCTAGTACCTGCAAGATAAAGGAGCTCAACACCACCCCACTTGCACTTGCCGGTGCCCATGGCTCTCTCTTGACCCAAGAGCCTTGCTGGCAAGAGGCTCTCAAGACCCAGGAAGCAGGGAGGAGGGCAGCTAATGGCAGGGGAAAGCCAGGCCCACTTTTCCCCAACCTACATACTCAGGGAATTAACAACCAAGTAGGCCCGGCCTGAGATGAACCTCATTGTGAATGACCAAAGTTATTAGAATTTGAACTACAGATTTCCATTTTCACATTATGATTTCCAGGAAAAAAGGTACTAGCCCTTTAATTTTCCAAAACAATTCTTCAGAAAGGGTATCAAGGCCTTTGGACTTAAACTCCACCAGATTTCATGTGCTTGTACATGCATTAGTGCTTGGGGGACTAGAGGCCAATGTCTCTGAGCAGCTTATAATTAGCATCATGTAAGAAACTGAAGTGTGTGGCTGTGCTGAGCCCTATCATGGGACAGGACCCACACTGTGGAAGGGACCCCCATCACTGCAGGATGAGAAACTCCCTGAACAGAAGCACAGAGGTGGGGAGGACCCTGTGCATGCAGGGATGACCTGGTGGAGGGGAGGTGGGTCACAGGTCAAAGCATAGAATCTGAGGTGGTTCAGAGGAACTGAAAGCCATGGCTACAGCGGGTAGAGGCGGGACAAGGGCCAACCAGAGGAGCAGCAGGGGTGAGGACACAGCCATGGCTGCTTGGGGGCTGGAAAGGGAAGCCACTGTCTCTTGGCTCAGAGTGAGGAGCAAAGTTGAAAGTGTTGACTTTGGAAACGCTGTTTCATCTCTCATGCCTCAGGCCCCGTCCACACCTGTCTGTCCAAGTCCAAACTGCAAACCCACCTTCTCCAGCAAGGTGAAAGCCACCCGGGACGGGTATTCACTGTCAGCAATGACCACTCCTGCAAGACCGTCATTCCGCACACAGACATGGCACAGGTATTCTAAGGAGAGACAGGCACACAGCTGGCGGTGGGGAACCTTAGACACGTTCACCCCCAAACTGAAGCGCCACACCACAAGTTGGGCCTGCAGGACTTGGAGCACAGCTCCGCATGCTCACAGCACATGTGGGACTACTGCTGGTTTGGCCCCACATCCGCTTCAGGACAAATGCATGCCCAGAGGCCCAGGGCGCAAAGCCTGGGTCTAAAGGAGCCACCACCACTGGGGCAGAGGACAACCCCAGTGCACAGGTGTGGGTGGCTCTTCCTTGGGAGCTGCAACTCTCAGAGGCTCCATTCTGCTCCCAACTGAGGGGGCCCTGGACGAGTCACACAGCCTCCACTTCCTAAAAGCCATGCAAGTGTGGCCCCAAATCAGGAAACCACCTCTTGGAGCCTCTGGCTTCCTCACTAAAGCAACCCTGGCCTGCTTGTTTTGTGGTGGGCCATAGGTAGACTGGGTGGGAAGAAGAGAGGAGAGAAAGCCCATCTAGGAAAAAATTAGCCCCCACTGGCTGTGCAGTGTTATTGTGCTGAAATTATCAAAAGTATAGTCTGTACAAGGGCTTCTGCAAAAAATTCACAATCCACAAGATTGTTTTGTCATTTTGAAAGGATTCAGAGATGAAACATCAACCATATTTCCAAACTAAAAGGAACAAAAGGATTATAGCTGACAAATAAGAACCTTCTTGTCCATAACACTGTCACCTGGAAGATGCTAATGTCAAACAAGGAAAACAAAGAGGAGAGGGAGAGACAGTAAGCCCCTAAAATCAGATCATCACCAACACTCTCCAGACTTGATATTCCCATGTAAGTAAGATTCAAACATGGGGCTACACACTCCACGGAATCTGAGAAGCTGGGATGGTGTGTGAGGATATGTCTTTAAAGTCACAATGTCGGGAAGGCAGATGCAGTCTGAGGAGAACTGAGGATAAATTTTCATGATTCAATTTCACTTCTGGGACATTTACGATACAGGGACCCCACATAGTACATACACCTTTGACATCACCTGCATGTAACTGATGGTTACATGATGGATACAGTATCTCCACATCACATGACCCAAGGCCAGCACAACATGCATTGGCCCTTGTTTCTGCTTGATGAAGTTCACAGACACCTTTCCTAATCTGTATAACATATGCCTCTAAAATAAATGCTTAAAAATTCTTACAGGAAACCTGAATTATGAAGAAGAAAAAATAATGGTCAAGAGGAAAATACTGAGTTTTCAGAATCCTGGTCAAAAATCTAAGGAACACAGGATGCAGCATTACCATAACAGGGCTGGGAATCCTTGGGAGATGTCTAGGACTCTGAGGGAGAAAGAGAAGATACAATATGAAGGCCACTTCTGCTCCAAGAGAGTGGGACCCTAATCTTGAGTGAGTCTAAGCTTTGGGGGTGATTTTAACCAGGCAGCTTAGACACCCATGGCGGGCGGGCAGAGTTTTGTGTAAACAGGAAGAAGAGGGAAGAGAGTACAAGCTGGCAGAGGAGTGGGGTCTCCGCTGAGGCAGCAGCTTGGCCAGTACATTTGCCATTGGTAGGTCCTCTTACCTTGTTCTTTGACAGAAGCTCTGCTGCCCTTCGCCGAGCGCTCCACAATCAGTTGACTTGTGAAGGTCATGAATTCCTGAACACTAAGAAACATAACACATAACATGTTACCTATCCCTGTCATTTGTCCCCAACATAATGGAAAGTGACCTCTAAGCTTATACACGAAGGAGACACTGTATCTCTGTTTCATTCCCTTCCCTCCCAACCCTGGTGACAAACAACGAACATGGAGTGAACACATACACTCATGAGAAAGCATCACAGCCATTTGGACATGTTTGCCACCTAGCTCTCCCCAACAGCCAGCTTCCAGATGTTGATGGGTGATGATTAGTTTAACATTTTGGTCAGAGTATGATTGGGACAGGCCGGCTCCTGTTCCCAAGATCCCACAACTTCCAAGGAACATAACAAAAACTGCACTGGAAAAAACCCAGTGGCAACAACTGTTTGGCAGACACATAACCAGTCACAGCTGCTGCCACACATGCACACCGCAATGCAGTGCGAGCCTACAGGATGCCAGCTCTGGCAGAGCACAGGCCTAAGTCTGTTGGGCTCAGCCATGGTACGAGCTCAAAACACTTTTTAAGGAATGGAGAGGAATTGTCATCCAAGACAAGAAAATGGAAAATGTCTTGTGCCAAGCCTGAGGAGGAAGAGGAGATTCACGGGACCAACAGAGAGATGTGCCCAGAACGGTCAAAGGTGACCGCAGTCCAGCCAGAAGAACAGGGGCCAACACGAGGCCTCCAACTAGGAATGCCATATAAAGGGCCATCAGGGCAGAATCTTGTGAGTCCACAGTTGGGCTCCAGGTTTGTAAACCTCTGAAACTGCAATTATAAGACACGGAAGAGTGAAGACCCTTGACTCGCAAGTGGACTCTCCCAGCTGGGGCCCCTGCTCCACCAGTTATGAGACTATGATCTCAGGCCCTGGGCCTCAACTACATAGCCGAGATATGTGACAGTTAAGTGAGCTAACATATGTGAGGCAGCAGCACAATGCACAACATCACTCGCTATCATCTTGTGAGAGAGATGTGATCACAAAAATTCCTTAAAGAGGCTTCTGAATGAGGGCATCCCTGCAGTAAAGTCAGGAGAGAGAGTTCAGGGCAGGCCTGTAGTATGTGATGAGCCGCATTCACTGTGAGAACCTGCACACAAGGGTCTGAAAGGCCAGGAAACCACTTGTAGGTTCTAAGCTTGAAGCCTGGTAATTGTGAGGCAGGAAGGACAGATGTGAGGAGACCTCATGAGAGAAACAGTGAGTTCAGCTGGAGTGCGTGTTGTTTCAGGAGATGCTAGCAGAGATGTTCCTTAGTACTGCGCTGTGTTTCCATTGAGACTGGTATGGACATCTCAAACCTGAGGACCCTCAGTGTATACACGAGCAGAGGGAGCCACATAGACACTGAAAGGCCCATCACAGAAAGGCAACAACACAGAGCAGAGTGACCATGATAAAGAAAGCTAAGTACCAAGAAGGTATTTCAAGAAGGACCCAGAGAAGCAGAACATCTCAGAAGAAACAAGTTGTTTTAGATGCTGCCAGCAGCCCCCCTCAACAAGAACAAACAGGGGCACCGCAGCAGGGAAAACGGTTCAGATGGCAGATCCCCCCAGACTGGGAGCCGGGGTGCCCAGACACTGACTGTGCTGGGTTTTTCTCGTTCTGTGCCTGAGTCACCCCATCTCTTTCACAAACGGGCTGGGAGAACCTGCAGTACTTGTACACCTCGCAATTACAGGGCCCCAGAGATGTTTAAAAGCTTCTAAGCCCCACAGTCAAATGCTTCCTTCAAATCTTCAGTGCAGAAATCTTTTGTACCACTACAGCCTAACAATAAAGCGAATACGACCTGGGCTTGAGTCCTGGCTGGTTCTGGCATAAATGATTTGGGGCCTTGGGGACTTCACCCATGAAAGGGAGAGCACGCCAATCTCTCTCAATGAATGGCTGGAAAGCCCCACGAGACACTACAAACGTGGCTCTCAAGGTATGGCACCTCACTGCCTGGGTCACAATCATGGAATGGGAGGTATTGTTTAAAATACAGATTTCTGGCCCTCAATCTGCTAGTGAGATTATCTGGGCATGAACCTGGGGAGTGTGCACTTCTTCAAAGTCCACTTATACTTTTTATACTACAGAAATTTGAAAAACACTCAATACGTAAGAATTGCTCAAGTCTTTTTACGAGAGAAAACGGATTCGCTGCGGATGGCCGAGCCTCGGGCCTCCGCAGACACCCCCGCCCGACCCAGGCATCCCGCGACTCGGACCGAGGACCTCCCCAACCCAGGCCCCAGGACTCCACAGGCCCTCCCCCGCCCCCGGGGACCTCCCCTCCCGGGCCGCTCACCTGGACCTCTGGAAGAAGCTGAAGGAGGACACGTCGTACGCGGCTTTGAGAAGCACTACCTTGGGCTCGCCTTTGTAGAGGACGCTGAGGCTATACAACTTCATGGTGCCACCGCGGGTCTGCCTCGCAAGAAGCGGCGCGAACACCGCCCCTCCGGACCGCCGCCCGCTGCTGACGGATCGGACCGGCTTCTTCCTCCAGGCTCGGTGTCCACTTCCGGTTCCGGCCGAGGGCCGCAGCCCGAGACCTAGCGAAGAGTTTTCCTGCCCTGGATGCAGAAAGTGCAGCCGGAAATACGCACGCTGGGCATAAGGTGGGGTGCAGCGCATGCGTGTGCGCCATGCCGCGCCCCTCCGGGCAGCCCCACCCCCTCGCCTGCCTGCCTACCTGGCCGCTTTGTCTTCACTGCGCCCTAGACCTAGAGCAGCACCTAGCCAGTCCTTTGGACACGGTACTGGAGGGACCTTGATCTCTGGGCGAACAGCCTTCCTGGAAGGTGTTTTGTAAATCCTCCTGCAGGGATGTGAGCGCGTGTGTAGCTGGGGAGAGGAAATCCCAGGGCAAAATACCTCTAAAACCGAAATCAGTCAAAAGGAGAAATAAAGTTTAAAACCCGTTTATTGCTTACAAACTGCGTTCCGGGGCCATCTTTTTCCTGCTCAGGCAGAAGCAAACTAGACCTCCCCTCAACCTCTCAGGTTCAGATAAGCCCTCAGGCCCCCAGGTAATTACCCATTGATATGGAGATGACCTACTTCTCTACACCTCCTAGGAATGCCTGTTGATATGCAGATGCACTAAAGTCAGACGAGATATTCTGGAAATACTACAATTTTACCCACAGGCCACCCCTCCAGAAATCTCGCCTTACAATCTACTCATTCCCCCTGGGCAAGAAAACTGGAGCACTGTGACCAGACTAATGACTACAATAGCAACAGCAATAAAATCATGATAATCATCAAGCCGGACCATTCACATAGGTTCAAAGTCTTAGGCAGATTAAGTCTATAGCTCGTCCATTCCATAGGCAGGCAGTAGCTGAGGGTCCAGAGCAATTATCACTGAGCAGCTGCAGCCAGGGGGCGCATTCAGGCCACAAGGACTGTAGGAGAAAATAACCTTAAGGGTGATAAGATACATGTTTTAATGACATCAGCATAGGCAAATCCTGTCCATCAGCTAGGATACATGCAAGAGAGTAGTCCTGTGATACAACAGTGTCAGGAATGGGATCTCATTCTGGTCTAGTATACCAGACTTTCACAGCCTCCCTGTGGGAGTTACAGATGGGTCAATATAGGGCTACGGGAGGTACATGCACTTGCCATAAAGATAGAACAAAACTTCCATGTAAGATGCTCTTACCTTCTGTGTGTTTTGGGTACACCACCATGATCTTTGGGGGCCACTCTGCTGTTACTCCAGGAACACACAGGAGGCCACCATCCAGGCCTTTTCTCCCAAGGTGCCAGAAGGTACTGGTCCATGTGTTGAAATGCCCGGGGCCAGGTCCATTTAACAGTGTCTCCAGGGTTTAATGCAGTAGGGGTTGGCAGCAGGATGTTGCTCTGCTGGCCATCCTGGCTTTGATAACTTCTTTGATTTGCACATACAGTTGTATAGGAGTGGCAGCAAGGTGTGTTAGCATATCCACAGGGCTCAAAGCTCCTTTACGTGGTTTCTCATTCAAATGCTGTAGCACTGTCCAAAGGCGAACTGACCAGCCCCATAGACTATTGGTGTCTAACTTCAGGCCAGATTTCAACAAACCATTGTCCCTCTCTATCATGCCTGCCACAGTAAGGCCATATGGTATATGAAACTTCTACTTCATTCCTAATTGCTGTAACCATCCTTTAACGCATGTCCAGTAAAGTGGGTGCCTTGATCGCTCTCAATCACCTACAGCCAAACATAGGCTGCAAAGAGATGCTCTGGGCCCCTCTTGCTGGTTTGCTGATCTGCACAATGTGCAGGAAAAGCAATCAGTAGTCCAGTTGCCATGTCCACACAAGTCATGGCATAATGATATCCTTCTGTTATGGGCAGAGGCCCAATATAGTCTATCTGCCACCTGATAAGCGGTATAGGCCATCTTACTATTGTCCCATGTTGCTGCAAGACTTGGTATAAGTCCTTCTTAGAGCACACAAGGCACTCCTGCCCGGCTCAGCTGATTTCTTCAGCCCCACCAACGGGCTACAGCTCACATTGTCTTTTGCCCCGCATGCAAAAAATGCTGATGTAGCCATTGGGCCACATCAGAGGCAGGCTTTCCTTCAAGCCAACGCACCTGAGCCAATGTGTCAGCTTTATCATTCCCTGGGGATACCAAAGGCAATGGCCAGTCACATGATATACAGTAACATTCAGTCTGACCAGAGGCCCATAGGTCTTGCCACAACTCTTACCCCCAAAGGGGCTGGTGACCAACCATCCATTTGGCCTGGTACCATGTTGGTAGCCAAGGGTCAAGCCCCGATAGATGGCCCAGCTGTCAGCACAGACAATTATGAGGGAAGGCTCCTGGGTGATCACAAGCCATACTGCCTGCAACTCAGCCCATTGACTGCTTTTCCCTTCTCTGTCCTCCATCCATATTGTCTCAGTCTTAGGATGGAAAGCCACAGCCCTCCCCTTCGGGGGCTGACCACAGCTGGAGTCGTCTGTATACCAAGCATCTTCAGGTATAGGGGCTTTTCCCTTATGATAAAGATTCTTGGCTACCAATGGCTCCAAAGCAATTTATTCCTGCTTTCCACTGGTATAGGTCACTGGGTCCAATAAGTGTTAGAGTTATCCACTTAAGGGGCCAGTAGAGAGGGCACGGAATTGCTGTAAATATGTGCCCCATTTGGCCAGTGTAGGTGTCTGTGCCATGCCACTTCTTGGCCTTTGGGTCCAGTCTTGAACCTACCCCACGATGGGATAGGTGGTTATTACCTTGGTCAGAGTTGTTCAGTGATGGGCTCCATAGCCAGCAAGGCGTGGTACACAGCAGCCAGTTGCTTCTCTACCAAGGTGTACTGGACCTCTGCTCCTTTCCATAGTTGTGACCAGAATCCAATGGGTTGGTGTGTCTGTTCAAGCGGCTGCCAAAGACCCCATCCATAACCATCTTCAGTTACATGAACATGTAGTTCACAGGACCTTGATGAGTCCATTACATTCAAGGCTTGTATGGCCTTGACTGCCAGCTTGGCAGCAATAAAAGCTGCTGCACATGTCTCATCCCAGTCCCATCTGATGCCCTTTTATACCAACTGGTTTAAGGGCTTTAGAATTTGTGCCAAGTGTGGGATAAACACTCTCCAGTAGCCCAAAAGACCCCAAAACTCTTTTAAAACTGCCACAGTGGTAGAGGTGGGGAAAGCCTGGACTTTGTCTATGACTGCTTCAGGAACAACTTTAGTTTTACCTGACCAGACAACCCCCAAGAATTTTACAGACAAACCAGGTCCCTGAACCTTCATGCTGTTCACAGCCATCCTTTCTCCTGTAGATGTTGCAACAGTCTAGGAACTGCCCCTTCTAAATCTGAAAGAGAATCAGATGTGAGCATAATATCATCAGTGTAGTGATACAACCACACCATTTGCAGTTTCTTCCATGTGGCCAAGTCCTGGGCTACAAGTCCATGACAGATGGTGGGACTGTGGAGGTATCCCTGTGGAAGGACAGTGAATGTCCACTGCCAGCCTTCCCATGTGAAGGCAAACTGTTCCTGGCTTTCCTGTGCTATATGGATAGAGAAGAGTAGCATTAGCAAAGTCTTACATAATAATACATTCCCACCTCATGGCTGAGGGTGTCCAGAATGTCTGCTAAAGAGGGAACAGGAGCATGCAAAGGGGGTGTGACTTTATTCAATTCCCTGTAGTCTACAGTCATATGCCAGGAGCCATCTGGCTTTCTCACTGGCCACACTGGGGAATTAAAAGGACTATGAATGGGCTTTATGATGACCACCCTCTCCAACTCCTGTAGAGTTTCTCCAATTTCCTTGTGCCCCCCAGGCTTTTATACTGCTTAATATTTGTCACCCACTGAGGTACAGGCAGAGTTACAGGTGGGTGCTTAGCATGTCCCCTCAGAACTGGCTTAACCACACATACCCTCAGTCGGAGCTCACCGGCAGTGGTCTGTAACCACAGGCCCTGCAGGATATCTACCCCAAAATATATTCAGGGATGGGAAAAATGTACATGGTGTACTTCTTCAGGGGTAAGCGCCTTACCCCCAATGGGATTTGGGCTTTCTTCACTCTAATTACCTTACCCCCATAGGCATCTATTACAGCAGGGGGGTCTCAGGAAAACACTCAGGGTTGCCATAAATCAAAGAACATTCAGCTCCTGTGTCCACCAGTGCGAGGACACATTGTACATACACAGGGGACCAATGAATTGCTAATTCTACATGTGGCCTCTGGTCCCCACCATGTCTCCCAAGGTGGGGTCCTTAACCTCCCACTCAGTCGAACTGTGATGCCCTATCATCCCCCTGTGGGGGTGAGGGCTCAGGCAAATCCTGAGTACTGTCTCCTAGGAAGTTTTGCAGGGACACAGGCCGGGCATGAGGCCTTTACTCTGGTTTCCACATCCTGGACCTCAGAGGCCGGAACTGCTGCTCTGACTTTAATTTGTGCTACAGTTCTATTAAGATTCTATTGGGCTGCCCATCACGTTTTTCTTTCACTACCCTGGTCTTTATCAAATCAACCCACAATCTGGGTCCTCGAGACCTTCTCAGGGTCTTTTGCACCTCTCCTTTCAGTCATGGCCTGAACTTCCCCATGTGCCCTTATTGTTTCATCCTCCCCCAGATCTGCTAAAGTACGAGTAGCCTCTCTTATGGGTTGTCCTAGCTGGGGGGCAAGAGTAGTTGAAAGGAAAGGAGCGACACATAGCAGCAATTCACCAGAGAATTCTGCTTTATTAGGGAAAGGTGCTGGGTTATTTAGGAAGGGGCGTGAATTGATTGAGGTGTTCACTTCTACGGGGCTGTTGGCTGTTGGCTAGGTGCTGGGATTGGGAGGGGGGCGAGAGGTGATTGGGCTTCAGGTGGCGCCGGCAGGAACTGAGGACCCCGAAGAGAAGCCGGAAGTCTGCCATCTTACTGGTGGGGGCCCTTCATTCCCCCCTTTCTCCTCTATGGGGTTGTGAACATTGCTTTCTCTCTGGCTGCTTCCTGCTGAATGGGGACGGAGAAGGGAGTGAGGGCTTGAGGACTGGGAGGAAAGGGTTGATAGGACTCCCCACAGTAAGG